AGCTCAGGCCTGACCATGTCACTCCCCTACTCATTAAACTTCTGTGGTTCCCTATTGCCCTGGGATCAAATGTAAGCTCCCCTGTCTGGCACTGAAAGCCCTTCACAGCCTGGTTCCTTCCTATCTGTCTAGGCTTCATTACACGTTACTGCCCTTTACTTGTTCTGTTCAGGGGATGTTGGTAAATGATGAACAACCAATTCTCTGGAAAAACAAAACATACCAGGACACAATTTTAAGTTTCATCTGCACCATTAATATTTTCTCCATCACTTTTTAAAGCATAGACAACCCAGGAAACAATAGGTCCAGCCCTGATTTCTGAGGTAGCAATCAGCTCTTTGGAGCTGGTCTGAGCTGCACATCTCTGCTGGTGGTAGAATCAAGCCAGTTTTCTGACCATATAGTCAACATTCCATTACCCATTTCCATGCTCTTGCATTGGCTGTGCCTTATCCCTGGAATGCCCTCCCTCCTCATTTTTACTTCTTAGAATCTCCAGTTTCATTCAAGACACACGCAGTTCAAGCCCCAGCTTCTCCACCAAGTTTCTCCTGAGCCCCAGAGCAGCTAGTGGGGTTTCCCTCTCAAGTGACCTTCTATCTTGTTTTTCTATTTAATATACCTGCATATGTACATCTTGTTGCCTCCAATAGAACATAAGCTCCTTGTGGATGGGAGGGTTCATTTTTGTCTTTGTATCACCAGGCCACATAATGCTTGCTCCATATTAGCTTCTCCATCACCACCACCACCACCACCACCACCATCATCATCATCATCACCATCACCATCATCATCACCATCACCATCACCATCACCATCACCATAACCATCACCATCATCATCATCATCATCATCACCATCATCATTACCATCATCATCAATGGGCCTCCCTTCCCTGCTCTGAATGTCTTCCTCGTGTGATGACTAAGTAGACCTCCTCTTGTTAAATGTTGACTATACGGGCCTCATTTCATTCCAGTTGTGAATCTGAGGTACTCAAATGGCCTGCTTCGCCCTGGACTGTGACAGATGGTGACAGTAGATGGAGGGAGGGGAAGGATGCAAGAGATATCAGGGAGATGAAATTGATAGAGCCTGATAGCTCCCTTATGCAAAACTGATTGGATCAGAGGCAAGGTTATGGAGCTGGGAGACTGGATGAGTGATGGTACCTCAGACAGAACTGTCCAGTCAAAGCAAGGGCAGGTTAAGGAAAAGCTGGAGAGGGCCTATAAAAAGCATGGCACGTGGGATCAGAAGTCCAGGGCTTGAGCCACTAGAATGTCATATGTCCCAGCTCTTATTGGAGCAGGATTCACCTTCTCCAAAATTGCCAGGGAGGGCTCATCCACCTTCTACCCTGAAGCCCCCAAGGAAGGGGAATTCATTGTCTCCTGAGATGAAGTGTTTTAATTCTGGGATCACAGACTTGTAGGAGGCCTCATAAGTCATCTGTCTAACAAGTATCTGAAACAGGAATCAAGTGAACAAGGCTTTATTGAACGCCAGGCACCATGGTAAGCATAGCATCTACATATCCCTGATAAGTGGTTTTCTGTCTTCTACACAAAGACCTATATGGACAGGGAACTCATTACCTTTCAAGGTAGCTTTCTTGTAATGAAGTTTTTAGGAATTGGAGCCCTCAGTATCCAAAACTATCTGAACAGTCTAGGTTAAGGGGCAAAACATTGAGAGTTGGAAGGGACCTCAAATTGGATCATTAGTTTGATAGAGATTTGAACCCAGGAACTATCACTCCATCACTAATGGGGATAAATGTAAAGGCCTAAACTTAGGTTCAAACAATCAACTGTACAAGTAGAGACAGGTGAAAATGTGGCTGGAAAAGAATGTCAGGGATTTGCAGTTTAAGTGGACTGCAAACTCAGTGCAAGTCAACAGTGTGATGTGAAGCCAAAAACTGCTAATGGACCTTTCAGCGTTCCATAGGGCACTGTGGCACCCAGGAGGGGAAGGGTCACACTCCTTCCATTCCCGTGCTCCTATCTGAGCTTTGTGCTCAAGTCTAGGAGCCGCAGTTTAGGAAGGATATGGATAAACTGGTGGATGTCCTGGGAAGGGTCTCAAGGATGGCAGGTGGGCTGGAGAGCAGGTCCTGTGAGGCTGAGATAAGTAGGGGCCTTTGGTCTAGAGGAGACTTAGAGAAGACTTAGGAGAGACATGGTGGCTATCTCCAAGTATTTGAGTCTGCCATGCTGAAGAGGGATTGGGCTTGCTCTGCTGGGCCCCAGAGAGCAGATGGGGTGTGAAATGAAGGAGAAGGGCCTAAGGGAAAGGCTGACCCCATTCCAAAGGCAGGAGAAATGGAGGGAAGCTCCAGGCCACCCAGAGGTTTGCAGACTCCCCCCACCACTGACATTCTGTGCCATCCCGCAGTCTCTTCAGACTCTGACTTCCTAAGTCACTTCTTAACAGATCTTCCCACCTTCTGTCTTTCACTCTCTGGTCCATCCAGCTTAGACCACTCTACTGGTCTCAGCCACACTCAGTTTGGACCCCACCTCTCCCTGCTCCTTAGGAATCTTTGCTCATTTTCTACCCTCTACCAAGAAAAGTCCCAATCGTCTCCCTGGCACTCAAGAGTTCTGCAATCTAGCAGTTCCCCCACCTACACCTTTTCTCCCCCCACAAGATGGACAATTCTTGGCAAAATATTGGAAATTGAGGAATTGGAAATATCGTCAATTGGGGAATGGCTGAACAAGTTGTGGTATCTGAACGTAATGGAATACTATTGTTCCATAAGAAATGATGAGCAGGCAGATTTCAGAAAAACCTGGAAAGTCTTGTATAAACTGATACAAAGTGAAATGAACCAGGAGAACATCGTACACAGTAGCAGCAACATTGTGTGATGATCAGCTATGAATGACTTAGCTCTTCTCAGCAACACAATGATCCAGGACAAGTACAAGGGACTCATGAAAGAAATTGCTATCCACATCCAGATAAGGAACTGGTGGACTCAATGAAGATTGAAGCATGCTTTTTTCACTTTTTTTTGTGTGTGTGATGTTTTCCCCCTTTTGATTTATTTCTTCTTTCACAACTGTGGCTAATATGGAAATGTGTTTTACATGATTGCACATATATAACCCATGTCAAACTGCCTACCATTTTAGGAAGAGGGAAAAGGAGGGGAGGGAAAGGAGAGAGAAAATTTGAACTCAAAATCTTGTAAAAATGAATGCTAAAAATTGTCATGACATGTAATTGCAAAAAAAAAAATACTATTTAAAAATAAAATTTAAAAAAAGGAAGACAAGCCTATCAAATCAACACACCCTGTGTCTGCCCCAGTGACCTTCCTTGTCCCTGAGTCTCTATCTGTTGATATCATGCCCTGCTTTCAGGTCACAGCTCAATGACACCTCCTCCAAGAAGCCTCTCTGATCACCAGTCACCACCTAAACCCCAGGTTGAAATGATTCCTCCTTCTCAAGCCTATATCTAGCATGAGTTTGCTCCTATTTTATGCACTTCTGTAAGATGACTTATGGTAGATATCTATTGCTATCAGAGCCCCTCAGTAGGTAGACTAGGAGCTCCATGGAGAGAAGGACTGTGTCTTTTTTATCTTTCCCAGGACCAAGGAGAGGGCCTGGCATATACTTGGTGTTTAATGTTTGTTGAAAAGTAGGTGCCTGTTGGTTTTGAAAGGGTATAAGTCTTGGTACACAAATTTAACAAACATTATTGTGCTATAAAAATGGATTTGAAGAAACAGAGGAAGATTTAGATTTGCTGATGCACAGTGACCTTAATAGAAATGGAATAATAACCACCACCAAATCAAAAAGGAATGTCTGAGCTTGTCTTGGAAGAGATCTGGGAATACTCCTCTCCCTTCTGTGCACAGGTGAGGTCCTAGAAGGAGAACATTGCAAATCCTGTTGGACTTAACCTATGGGTTGGATAATTTTCCTGCTTTCCTCCCCCCTCTTCTTTCTTTTTAATTCTTTGTTATAAGGGCTGGCTCTTTAGGTGAGTGGGGGAGGGAAATATTAGGAAATAAAGGTACTGTAAAAAAGGTTGATGAAATTTTAAAAAAGAAAAATGTATTAAATTCAGAATCCCAGAATTTGTGAATTGGAAGGAAACTTGGTGGAAGGATTTGGAGTCAGTGGACCTGGTCCAAATCTCACCCCTTCCATTTACTAGTTGTATGACCTTAGACAAGTCACTTAACTTGTAAGGGTCTATTTTGTGTAAGGGACTTGGATTCTATGGCTTCTAAGATCTCTCCCAGCTCTAAATCGATGGTCCATCTGGCCAAATCTGTGCATCAAAGGAATTCCCACCATAACCTTCCTGAGGAGCTGTTGTCTGGCATGTTTGAAGACCACCAAGAAAGGAGAGCCCAGCAGCCCCTGAGGCAGCCCCTTCACCTTTGGGCAGCTCTCATTGGGAGCAAACTTTTCCCGATGTCAAGCCTGAATTGATATATGAATCAGTTTTGAGAAAAAGACAGTGTGCTGATTATCCACAGATATCTATCTATATGGCAATAGGCAGAGTGCAGTGTGGGCAACTGGAGTCTCAAGAGCTGTGGGTTTGAATTCTGCCTCTTCTTCCTAGATGTGTGACCTTAGGCAGGTCACTTCCTTTCCCTAAGCCTCATTCTCCTCATTTGTAAAATGGGGAGGCATTTGCATACTTGATGCAGTCTAGTGAGACTCTCCCTTTTCTCCAAGAATGGGGATGAGTGCATGGGTGATGACATATAGACTGAGTGATGAATCGGGAGGACTCGCCTGGAATGGACCCCCTATCAGTCAACCTTCAAGGCCCTGCTCAAATCCCCCCTTCTTCAGATGGCCTCCCCCGTCCCCCCAACTTCTATTGCCATCACCTTTCAGATCGCCATCCCCCTACTCTGTATACATCTCATCTGTGCCTAGTTATTTACATGTAATCTCCCACATTAGAATAGGAGCACCCTGAGGGCAGGGACTCTTCTAGCTAGCTACTTTGTATCTCCAGTGTCTAGCTAGCTCAGTGTCTGGCACATAGCAGGCTTAATACATGCTGGTTGACTGACTTGTCCCAGCCTGCCGGGGCATCCTCATCTACTTTCTTTGCTACAGGCATAGTTACAGCAGGGGCTGGCTCCTTTACTTGCTTCAGAGTATAAAACCCTCTGTGAGAGGGAGGGGAGACCCTAACCTCCTAACCTGTGCTGTGAAGCATCCCAAATCAGAACATGGACAGAGACCCAGGGGACCCCTGGCCTTGCTGTATCCTGGAGAAGGTTACATTCAGTGTGATTTGAGCTGGGTCTCTTTCTTAAGGCAGACATGGGCTATTAACCATGATCTACCCCATAGGGTGGCAGTCAGGGAAACATTTTGTAAATCATTAAGCAACAGCTAAATGTGAGTGTAACTGGAAGCAGCAAAGTTAGGCCTCCCTTCTCTCACTTGCACAATGTCTTTACGATCCCGTGGCAGCTCAGATAGTCATTCTCTTCTCTTCCTCTGCTCTTCACCTTTCTCAGGTCACAGCCCTCTTTGGAAACTGCTCTGGTGAAGCCTCAGAACCGTTTTTCTAAATCTGTTTTGAAATGCACAAAATAAAATACATGGGATTGCAATTACATTAGAGGAAAGCAATTACATTAAAATAAGGATGTATTATTTTTCCTGCACAAATTCACAGACTCCCTGAAATCTATCTACAGACCTCACATTAAGAACTCCTGGTCTAAAATCTAAAATATGAATTTCTTGGGGAAAAGTGAATTCACCATTCAGGTTTGTTTGTTTGTTTGTTTGTTTGTTTGTTTGTTTGTTTGTTTCTTTCTTTCTTTTAGAGGAGAACAGATGTTTATTTCTCAGTCATATAAAAAACAGCATCATGGGCTGCCATGGTCAGTAGGTTCTCCGTCCTTAGAGGAGATGACTGGGGGTCATTCGAGCAGACTGGCCAAGTGTACTCTGCTGGCCCAGCAGCAGAGAAGCCAACGCCACTTCTAGATCTCTGGAGTGGGTCCATCCCCAAAGCAGCCATAACTACTGATCCCCAAGCCTACTGACATGTGAGCGCAGGGCACGGTTGACGAAAATACCAGGGTCTTCCTAGAGCAGGCCATGTCTTCAGTCAGAATGGAGAGGAAGACGTAGAAAGCAGGAGTGCACATGGCCTGTTGATAACGTAACAGCACCGGCTCCCAGAGCACCATGGCCTGCAAGGCTCTCTTCTGCTGAGGAGTTTCTCATGCATACTTCAAAATCACACAAGGTATCAAATACAGAGGTGTATACTCAGCTGTTTACCACCACCATGGGGAGGCCCTGGGTGGAATCCCAGGGCTTCAGGGGCTAACTGGATGCTGCTGGATAGTATAATTAACTGGGATGACACTGGGCTCATCAAATTAAACCCCAGAATATCATGGGGCCTCCTCAGTGAAACCCCCAGTGACTGCCACAGTGACAGGCCTAACAATTTCCACAGGAAAACCCAAATGGAACCCCAAATGCCTACAGTTTGGACTGTGCCAGGCAGTTCAATGGGTGGTCCACTGGGCTGGTCCATCAGTACACATATGTGGTACAGATGCTGCAGACAGACAACGAGCTGAGCCCAGGACTGAACAGAAGGAAGAGGGTTGGCTGGATGGCATTTGGGAAGTTATGGTGCGCTCTCAATGAGCTTGGCTGCGACCCTGCCTTGGAGACCCATCTCTTAAACACCATTGTTTTCCTGGTGATGAAGAATCAAAATCGCAGGCATCCCAAAGGATGGAGACACATACGATAGGAGGGACGACTGATGGACGAGAAGCGGCAGAAGTCAGAGGAGGGGCCGGTTCAGTGGGCGATGGCTGCTTTGGGAATCAGAGGACCTGGGTTTGAATCCAGGATCTGCTACTTCCTGCTGGAGTGACCACAGGGCAGTCCTGGCTAGGCCTGTGCTTATAACCCTCCCCCGTTGGTGGGAAGGAGCTGCTGGTGTAGACTTTAAGGACTTAAGGTCCCCTGTGAAGGAGTGTCAGGGGTTTCTATCACAGACAGGCAGGATGGGGGGCTTGGAGGGACCTCAGCGGCCATCTCATCGAAGGAGCCTCCCAAAGTGAGAGGCCTGTCTCTAACACATGCCAATATTAGGGGGTCAGTGGTTCATTGCCACAGATGGGAACCCCTCCGCATCCTAGCAGCTAGGGCTTCATGCCTCGTAGAGGCCGGCCCTCTGACGCTAGGCCTATCTTTGTTGGCCAGCAAGGCAGGGCTCTGACAGCAAGCCATCGGCTAACGGCAGGATTGGGCAGACAGCCCAGCCACCTGCAAGTCACGGTGTGGGCCGCTGCGTGGCCTTCTCTTCCAAAGACCCAGGCCAGGGGCTCACCTGGCTGGAGAGCCTTTGGGGATCTAAGGCCACTCCTACCAGGGCTCCTTGGCACCTGGGAGCTGTGTGGCTTCTGTCTACAAAAAGTCCTCTTTTATCAAATTTAGCCAGGCAAACCCTTAAGGACCCACTGCATGCCCGGCCTTAGGGCTAAACCCCTCCCTCAAAGAGCTTTTAGTCCAATGGGGGTGGAGCTTAGGGGCCACACCCAGAGAACGATCCCACTCCAGTCAGAGCCTGGCAGAATGTGAGCCCCCGCAGGGCAAGGCCACTTCACTTTTGTCTCTATCCCCGGTACCCCGGGCAGTGGTTGGCATACAACTGCACAATAACGCCTGCTGCTGCTTCCTTGGGTTAAGCTTTGCAGAATCCTTTCATCACACTGGCCCTGTGATAGATAAAGGCAGGTCTTCCGGTCGCCAGTACCACTTGGCGGGATCTCTGGGGGCACACGAGACTGCTGCACGTCACCGATGATGACGCCCTCATTGAGCACGTGGTGGAATGTAGGGGGCGCAAAGCCCAGCACCAATGTGTGACTGACCCTCGGCAAGGCTCTGCACCTGACTCAGTCTCAGTTTACCCATCTGCCACATGGGGAGAACAAGCCAGCCCCTGATGAGCGCACAGGGCTATGTGCACTGATAGCAGACTCATCTTCTGGATCTGCAGTAGCCAGCAGGCTGTGGCTCCACATTCACAAGGGCCCATCTCCACTGCCCAAAATGTGGATTTTTTGCCTCGAATGATACGCAGATCGCACCTCTCTCCTGAGGGGAAAGAAAAGGCAGGTCAGTGACTGCGGGCGTGCTGCTCCCTCCCCTCCGGGGGTCCTCTCTGCCTCCCAGGCCACGTGGAGGGCTAGGAGGTGAACCCCAGAGGGGAGGGGTCCAGATCTATCTCGGGTGTGGGCTGCTCTCTCTACTGTCTCCCCCAGGGCTCACAAGTGTCAGAGGCAGGCTTTGAACGGAGCCTTCCTGCGGCCAGGGTCTCTGCGCTGCCCTACCCTACCTCTCTCATGTGGGGCTCAGGAAAGTTTTGGGAAGCCAGCAGGGAGGCGAGGAGGTCCACTGGGCTGGACTGGAGCCCAGCACCGTGCAGGCGACGCCCATAAACATCTGCTCATGACAAAGGCTCATCTTTTAGCAAGTGGGGCTGCTGGTCCTCCACGGACCAGGAGAGGCTGAATCCCAGCTCCCTTTAGCTTCCACACCTTCTGACACCCTCAGAGGCCCCCAGTCCACACAGCCCTCCCTGAAGCAGATGCCCTCTCTACTACGGTCACCATGCATGGAATCTGGGCCTCTGCTTGGATAGCTCCAGTGACAGGGAGCTCACTACTTAGGCAACTGTTTTCACTGTTAGACTGTTCTAATTGTCAGGAAGCTCTCGTTAAATTGGGCCAAACTTGGCCTTCCTGTCACTTTCCAATGGTTCTATTCTTTGGGACCAAAGAGGGAAAATCTAATCTTTATTCCACACTACATCTCTGTAGACACTAGAAAGTAGCAATCAGCCCGCCCGCTGCAGGTCTTCTTCAGGCTGAAACCTCCCTGCCCCATGAGAGGAAGGACAGGGAGGTCCTTTGCCCACGTGCTAATCAAGGACTTTCTTAAAAATGGGGCATCTAGCAGTAAACAAGGCATTCCAGAGGGGCCTGGCTGGGGCAGAGGACTGTGGGGCTATCACCTCCCTGAGAGTGGCCAGACGGCTTCCCTTAGCATAGCGTCAGATTGCATTGGCACTCTAGGTAGTCATATCACACACTGTAGATTTATATTGAGCTGGTGGTCCACTAACACCTCCAGATCTCTGTCATGTGACCTGCCTTCCTGTTTCTCCTCCCCATGCCCCACTCGGAGCCTGGGCAGTCAATTAGAACAACCCCATTTGTCACTCTTCCCTTTTCAATGCCATCTTTTTGGCTCAATGTTCTAGCCCGTGGAGAGCTTCTTGGATCCCAGCTCCACCACCCAACACAAATGCTCCTCCTTCTCACTTCATCAAGAAAACAGGAAGCATTTGAAAAAGAATTCAATCTAGGTGACTGGTAAGCTGGTTACTCCCAACCAAACTCTGGGGGTTTTTTCTTCTGGTCTTTTACCATTGGAGGCCGGGTGGCAGCACCATCACTCACCTGGTCCTGCAGAGGGATTCTTCCCCCAGCCCCACCCTGAACCAGAGGGCCTCCAGTGCTCCCCTTTTTTACACCTGGGTCAATGACACAAGGCAGCATGGACCAGTAGGAAGCCAGGCCCACTTCACTTACCAGCTCAGTAACCTTGGGCACGTGACCTTCCCTTGCTGGGCCTCAGTTTCCCCATCTGTAAAATGAAGGTTCTGACTCGGTTTTTTCTAAGATGCCCTTCAGGCTCCACAGTCTACTTCTCCTTATAGACAGGCCTGCTTTGGCTCATGAAGCCCTAATTCATCGGCAACCACAGCATGAATCTTTGGACCACAACCCAGGAAACTGCTCCTGCTCTTGAACAATCTTGAACAATTACATCTCTGCCCATTGCTCACATACTACCTTACCTCTGGCTTTCTAGGGGGAAAACACAGTGGGCTGGCCAGGACTCTGGGGCTCTACTTCTGGCCATGGGCTCAGTATGGCTTCTCAAGGGCCCGAATTTCCCTACGATAAACTGGGAGATTTCATAGTCTCTACAGAACCTTCAGGACTTTCTGCTTTCTTGGACTGAAGTCTCCACTTGTTAACTTCACTTTGGAGATTTGGTGTTGTGGAAAAAGTGCTGGAGCTATGGGGAAGAGGGAGGGAAGAAGGAAGGGAGGGAGGGAGGAAGGGAAGGAGGGAAGAAGAAAAAAGGAAGGGAGGGAGGGAGGAAGGGAGGGAGAAAGGGAAGGAGGGAGGAGAGGAAGGGGGGAGGAGGGAAGAAAGAGAGGGAGGGAGAGAAGAAGCATTTATTAAATACCTACTGTTTTCCAGGCACTTGCTAAGTGCTTTACAAATATTTTCTCTCTGTCTCTCTCTCTCTCTCTTTTTTTCTTTTTGGTGAAGCAATTGGGTTTAAGTGACTTAAGTGCCCGAGGGTCACAAGCATCAAGTGTCTGAGGCTGGATTTGAACTCAGATCCTCCTGATTAAGTGACTTGCCCACAGTCATACAGCTAGCAAGTGTCTGAGGCTGCCTTTGAACTCAGGACTTCATGACTTGGGGCCCAACTCTATGCCTTTGACACCTAGCTGCCTTTCTGTGGGGGTTGTGAAGTGTGGGGCAAATTCAGGATCTGACACTTTCTTCTTTTGTGACTTGGAGCAAGTCCTGACTTCTCTGTGCATCAATTTCCTCATCTGTAAAATGGGGATGAAAATGTTTCCTCTGTCCCTCCCGGAGTTGTAACCCTTCAAGCACTATGGAAATGAGTTCTTATTCCTGGTACACTTCAGTGGTACTTCATAAGCATGGTAATAAGATGAGACCACCTGTGTAACTGCCATCTGTGTCCAGTTTTAAGGGACACAGTGTGTTTTACAGACCTTCTGTCCTTTGAACTTTACAAGCACCCTGTGAGTTAGGTGTTAGAGGCATTATCACCCCATTTTGTAGATGAGGAGGCTGAGGTCCCAGTTCCGGGTTACACAGTCCTTTGTCTTTCTTTGTATTTCCTAATCCCTGTGTCAGAATGGAAGCTCCTCCGGGGCAGGGATTGTTTCATTTTGGTCCTTGTGACTACAACAGCCTAGCTCAGTGCCTCTCACATGGCAGGTGTTTAACAAATGTTTGTTGAATTGAATTGAATAGTACATGTTGGAAGTAGGATTTGAATCCAGGTCTTGATTAGAACTCCAAGTCTCTATTCACTAAGTCATGGGTTTCTCCTGGTTGAAGCCCCTAGCCCAATGCACTATAGACCTTCGACAAATGGAAATGAATGAATGGACAATATCCCTGCATTGTAGTTATCACAGAATTAACGAGGGAGCAGAAAGGGATCTTGGCCATCACCTCATCTTAATTTTACAACTGAAGAAAGCAAGGTACCAAGAAGGGGAGGGACTAACCTGAGATCCCAAAGGCTTGCTTGGTATTCATCTAGTTTGTCTCCCATTTTGCAGACAAAGGGATTGAGGTGTGAGGCAGCTGACTGATTGGACAGCAGATGGGGACCAGAAGACTCTTGGCTCCTGCTCAGCTCACAGCTCTTCTGGCTCTATGACAGTGCTAGGCTTTCTCTCCAGAATGGGTCCGCTGGTGCCGAATGAGGGTAGAGAACTGACTGAAGGCCTTCCCACATTCGTTGCATTCATACGGCTTCTCTCCAGTGTGGATGATCTGATGTTGAGTAAGGGTTGAGCGTAGACGGAAGGCTTTCCCACACTCTCGACATTCATAGGGCTTCTCTCCAGTGTGGATTCTCTGGTGCTGAGTAAGATAAGTGCTACGGCTGAAAGCCTTCCCACATTCATTACACTTATAAGGCTTCTCTCCAGTGTGAATGAACTGGTGTTCAATGAGGGTGGAGCTATGACTGAAGGCCTTCCCACACGCAGTGCATTCATAGGGTTTCTCTCTGGTGTGAGTCCTTTGGTGGCGAGTGAGGTGGGAGCTGCGGCTGAAGGCTTCTCCGCACACATTACACTCATAGGGCTTCTCCCCAGTGTGGATTATCTGATGTTGAATGAGGGTGGAGCTATGACTGAAGGCCTTCCCACACTCGGTGCACTCATAGGGCCTTTCTCTGGTGTGAGTCCTTTGGTGGCGAGTGAGGTGGGCGCTTCGGCTGAAGGCTTCCCCACAAATGCCACACTCATATGGTTTCTCTCCCGTATGAATGATCTGGTGTTGGGCAATGGCTGATCGGTGGCTGAAGGTTTTCCCACATTGCCCACATTCGTAGGGCTTCTCCCCGATGTGGATTTTCTGATGTTGACTAAGGTATGCACTCCGGCTGAAGGCTTTCCCACACTCAGCACACTCATAAGGTTTCTCTCCCGTGTGAATGATCTGATGTTGGGTGATGGCAGATGGGTGGCTAAAGGTTTTCCCACACTGCCCACATTCGTAGGGCTTCTCCCTGATGTGAACTCTCTGATGCTGGGCGAGGTATGTGCTCCGGCCAAAGGCTTTCCCACAGGCACCACATTCATAGGGCTTCTCTCCAATATGAATTCGCTGGTGTTCGGTCAGGTAGGCGCTCCGGCTGAAGGCTTTGCCACAATCTTCACACTTGTAAGGTTTCTCTCCAGTGTGGGTTGTCTGGTGCTGGAGAAGGGATGAGCTGTGACTGAAAAGTTTCCCACATTCACTACACTCATAGGGTCTGTTTCCCGTATGGATTCTCTGGTGTCGAATAAGGTTGGAGCGGTGACCGAAGGCCTTCCCACACTCGGTGCATTCGTGGGGTTTCTCTGCAGCATGGATTACTTGATGTTTGATGAAGTCTGAAATCTGCCTGAAGCTTTTTGCACATGTCTCACATTGATGGGGTCTCTCTCCTGAGGAGTCTGTGTTGAGAGGCGAACCAAGGTCTGAGCTCAGATTTAAGCTCCTTCCAAATTCATTGTATTGTGGACCTTTCTCCCCCTTAGGGGCTTTTTTTGGATTGACTGTTAATTGTCTGAAACCTTTTCTCTCCCAGGAAACAGATCCCTCCTGAGTTTGACCTAACAGGTCTCCCTTCTGACTTTGTAATGTGGTATAGATGTCCTCACACTTGGTGTCCCAGAGGACATGGCTTGCTGGACTTCCCAAGATGACTTCCTGGGATTCGTATTCAGAAAAGTTGGGCTTTGGAGAAGATGCATTTGCCTCCATGTTAGTCTTCTGAGCTGAATGAGAATGAAAAGAGAAATATCACAAAAATATCTCTTAGAGGAACGGGGTTATCGAGCTAGCTCTGTCACTAACAATCTGTGGATGGTCCTCTCTGAATGACCTCTGAAACCCCTGCCAGCCTAATCTTCTCTGGGTCTTGGCACAATGATTAGAAAGACAGTGCCTGTGGGAAGGGATGAGGTTTGAGAGCTGCATTCAAACAGGGTCTCAGGAAGGTGGGGGTGGGGGGTGAATGAGAAGCCCATGGAAGAGACACACCGGAGGAAATGGCTGGAAGGGCCCTTCAGGGGTCATTCGGTCCAGCCCCGATTTTACCCAGAGGGACGCCAAGGAGTGCAATGGGGAGACAGTCGCCAAGCAGACTGATGATACCCTAGCGACTCTTTCACTTGTCTTTGGACTGCTGGTTCTTAGCACAGGGCTTTATGGATTGGGCCAATGAATGCCTGTCAGTTGTGATGGACTTGTCCCGACTCACGTGCTAGCCTATTCTTAATTTTCAAGGTGATAGTTCTTTGCAAAGTGGCTCCTGGCCCTCAGGGAAATGTCTACCCAAATTCTGCCTTTTAACAGCTTCCTACACACTTTGCACAGCTCCTAATGTTCAGTCTTATCTCAGGCTACTACTCCTCTAAATGTAATACGGGCTCCAGTCAAACAGGGTGACTTGTCATCACCAGTATATACCCTGTGTACACCTCCATGACTTTATTTTACATGCTCGCTCTGCCTGGAATCCCCTCCTTTGGTGTAATGGAAGGATGCCCTATTCAGTGGCAGGAAGGACCTGGATTCAAGTCCTGCCTTTGACACTTACTAGCTATGTGACCTTGGCCAAGTCACTTCTTTCTAGCTCCTCACCAGAAGATTGGTTCACACCCATTAGCTGTATGACTAAAGAAGGTGCTTCCCTTCTCTATGAATCAAGGAAGAAGGGTGTTGGAAGCAAGTCAGAAATTAAGGAATCACTGAGCACCTGAGCACCTGGACTAAAACTTGCCCCTCCAGAGCCCTTCAGCACTTCTTAAACGGTGGGTTGTGACCCCAGGGGCTTTCGCTGCAAACACGTCAGAGCTGGGAGGGGCTCTAGGTATGGAATGGCAAAGCTGGGAAGGGCCCTAGCCTATGGAACATAAACCATCAGTGCTTCAGGGGACCTGAGAACAGAGCACAGAACAGCAGGGCAGAGACGCCCTCAGACGCAGGACACGATGTCGGGCAGGGAAGGACCTCGAAACAAAGAAGGTCCCAGATAAAGGGCTCCTTGGACCACAGAGACCCACCAACAGAAGTCACATGTCCAAGCTGGATGTGTCCTTGGGGAAGGAGAGGGAACATGCATTAATAGAGCACCTACTGTGTGCCCAGCCCCGGGCTAAGCACTCTGCAAATGTGATCACATTTGATCCTCACAACCCTGGGAGGGAGGTGCTACGTTTAACCCCATTTTACAGATGAGGAAACTGAGGCAGACAGTGGTGATAACCCGGCAGTGTCTGAGGCCAGATTTGGTTCTAGGTCTTCCAGACTCCAGGCCCTGCGCTCGGGAGCCAAGCAGAAGGAGCTGGGTGCTCTCCCACAGGCGGGCACTGCAAAGCTGAAGGCAGCCGTCTTCTCCCTTAATTTCCTAGCTCCTCAATCACATGAGCCAGAAGCCCTCTGCCATCTTGGTGGCCTCTGTCTGGGCACTGACCTCTCACCCACGTCCCTCCTAGAACAGGGAGCCTAGATCTGAGCTCCCTCATCCTCCCATAGTCTGGATGGGGTACAGAACAACGCCCTCTTCATGTGGCCTAATGACCCTTCTCACCACTGTATCTTCTGGCTCAAGCCAAATTTCTGGGTCATTCAAACCCCAGATATTTTTCACATGAAGGGCCGCTGCTGGCCAAGCCTCTCTGATTTTATACACACAAAGCTGATTTTTTGAACCCAATATGAGATTTACCAGCATATCTCTGAAATGTCAGGGGAACAGGTTTGGCCCCCTGCTGAGGTCATCATTGCACAGGTAGTTCCCTGCCCAGCTCTGTGTCACTGGCAAATCCGCAAAGCCCTTCAGTGGGGCCTCCTAGACCCTTAGGACCCTCCACCAGTCTCCTCTGTGGGCTGGGCCTGAGTCTGGGGAACTGTACATGTCCATGGTAGATGGAATGAGACCATGGAGGGGGCACTCTGCCCAGCCTTGCCCTGACCTCCAGTAGGTCTGTGCCCTAGGAAGGAAGGAGGGGAAGTCAATCTGGTGTGAAAGGCTCTGAGGAAGCCACACCTATTCTTCCTGATCATGGCACTTCCTTTTCTCAAGGGTCAGGGTCACCAAGGATCCCTCTAATAATACACTGCAGAAATTCCCCAGGAATCAAAGTCAAGCTCGCTGGCCTAGAGATGACAAACGGCATCTCCCCTTCCCTTTTAGGGGGGTGTCTGTGGTCACTTTCCAAACCTTTCAGCTCTTTCTGCCAGAGGCTCAGCTCCCATCCAAGAGAACCAGGACTGCAAGGGCCTAGTGAACCCAACTCTCTGGGGGTGGCCACAGGCCGCCTGAGAGCCTTTGAGGCCTGGATCCTCTTTGGCAATGCTGGGGGGGGGGCTCTGTCATGGAGAGGAAGGGAGGTGAGGTGCTTGTTGGAGTCCTCAGCACTCCTGGCCAATGACTCTGACCCAATCGAGTAGATTAACCAGTGTTCATTGCCCCTGGTTCCATGGAGGGATGGAAGGGGATATAGCCCCATGAGGAGGCGGGATTACAGGAGGCACAATATCCATGTGCTACAGAATGACCAGGCTGGGATGGCCCATAGCGGGCATCTCATGTCCTGCTTCACGCAGCGCAGGCAGCCCCCTTGGCAGGGTCATGGAAGCCGCTACCTTCTGAGGCATGTGCTCTGTGGTGGGATGGCTTTGGTGGAAGTGTGTGCCTTGGGATGGCCCCCCACCCACTGCTCTGGGCTGGGCCCTCTGGGGCTTCATCCAATGAAAGACTCCCCCAGACAGTGAACAGATCCCTCCCTGCATCCTCCCTCCTCAGGGCTCACTGACCCTAGGACCCTCAGGTGGCAGGCAGACCTCCTGGTTCCTGGTCCCTGGCCATGGTGGGGGCCATCCTCTGCTGCTTCAGCTGGGGAAAGTCCCTCCTCAAGGCGGCCCCTGATTCTCTCTGTGCCAGAGGCAACAGCTGTAAAATGAAGGGAGAGGAAAGGCTAGGGAGGGGAGGGAGGAGGGTGGGGCCGAGCCCTCCCCTGGAGACCCTGTCCTGGAAAAATGGGAGGTGGGATAGGTGAGGTGCATTCTGGGATCTCCCAGCTCTCCCTCCATGCAGGGATCTCTAAGCACCTCCCAGCTCTCTGTCCATCCAGGGATCTCTAAGCACCTCCCAGCTTTCTCTCCATCCACGGATCTCTAAGCACCTCCCAGCTTTCTCTCCATCCACGGATCTCTAAGCACCTCCCAGCTCTCTCTCCATCCAGGGATCTCTAAGCACCTCCCATCCTCCCTCGGGGCTCAGGGTGAAGCGCTCAGGGCTCTCCGAGCTTGGCCCCCCTGGGCGACCCTCGGAAGATCGACCCTCAGAAGATCGCTCACCTGCTCTGTGCCCGGGTCCGAAGGCGGTCAGTCAGGCCGCTGGCCTCACCAGGTGACCCTGGGCATGTCTCTAACACTCTCTGGGACTCAGTTTCCCAACCTGTCAAAAGGGCCGGGGTAGTGGCTGCGGGAGGGAGTGTGGGGGGGTGGATCACAGGGATCTCTAAGCGCCCTCCCTGCAGGGGGCTGAAGTTCTAACGGGGAGGGGGCTGAGTGGGGCTGGCCGAGGGAGGTGGATCAGTGGGTGACGTCACAGACCACGCCTTCACCCTTTAGGAGGGTCATGTCATCTTCTGATTGGTTGATTTCGGGGGCGCGGGGACAAGAGGGCAGCGCGAGGGGAGGGCCTAAAGCAGATCCTCACCTGTGATTGGTTCTTCTCCGGCCGACTCAGAGCGTGAGGAGCACGCAGAATTGCCACTGCGCTTGCGCCTCCGGCCCACTCCTCCTCCCCTTCTCGGGAAAGCGTTTGCCAACCGGGGAGTTAAGCACTTAGCGTCTCCTTCTCCAGGACAACCGTGGGAAGGCCTGGAGAAGTCCGTCTCCATGGCAACAACGGGAGCCCCAGCCTTCCCTCATTCACCGCGCGTGTCTGTGGATTGGTCCAGGTCTGATCGTGGGCCCTTAAGGAGCTGTCTCCATGGCAACCACTGAGGACGCGCTGGCTGCAGCCAATGAGGAGCTGCGGCAACCAGCGGCGCCCCGTCTCCCCGACCCACGTGGAGGCGCCTCTCCAAAGCCCACTCCCCTTTCCGGGCCTTAGTTTCCCTGTGTGTCAAACGAAGGCGTGGCCTTGGCGACCCCGGAGCTATATCCCTGGGCCTTGTGTGCCTTCCCTCGGAAGGTCGGGCATTGGGCAGTGCGTGAGTCCGGGGCCTGCGCCTGGAACTTCGTGTGCGCTGCGGGGTCTTACTGAATAGGACCAGAGAGTCTGGCTTGGAGCGTCAGCCTTGACCGCC